GGGCTGCAAAAACTTCTTAAAACATACAGAGGCAGTGTAGGAAGCGTGAAGATGATGGAGATGAAGCAGGTGGTGTGTGGAGATCTGGAGGAATTTGCAGCCCCGAGGAAGATGTCTCGCAGAATAAGGCAGTCACTCTGGCATGGGTGCTGATGCAGTTTCTGCTGTTTGTAGATGATCCAGAAATTGGCAGCAGGAAGGATTCCAGTGTGGGGCAGTAGTTCTCATCTCCAAAGAGGTGTGAACATGAGTTAAAATCTCTTTACTCTTGCAGACTGAGTTGCCGTACTACAGGGTGGTCTTTGGGAGGCCTTGGCCAGAGGATGAGCTGACCAGTGGCTCTGTGCTCTCTGGTTCGTCCAGTGCAGCCAGAACAGACCCTCCTGAGAGGCTGGTGGATTCTGGCCATCAGGTGGAACAGTGGTGGGTTTCAGGTGATTAAAGTACTTTGATTTCCTTGTTTGCAACATTAATAATCATGTATTGGGTATTTTAATAAGTCAAATGTTCCAAATAAAGCTGAATTCTAGTAAGTGAAAGATGCCATTTTCACCCTAGACAAGAAGGTCGTATGGCCATGTGAAAAGTAGTAGTAGCAACAGCCATGAGGAGAATTAGAGCCCTGCAGGAAAGTTACTCATGCCCTGATGAGCAGCATCTCTCTGCGGGGTCCTTAGCAGATCCTTTTGGATATTCAGGGACTGCGGACTTTGACCTTAAATTAATGTTGCGAATACTGTATTTCAGAGGATTACCCTCCTCCCCGCAAAAAAGATTTCCCTGTTTATGAGTCCGTGGTGGCCCCAACTTCTATCAGTAGTCTTTAGTCATGGGGCACATGTTTGCTGAGTGCCTGTTACGTGTTTGCCAGCATCAGACCAATTTAAATGTGCGTAAAGACCACCATGAGGGAATCCATAGTCTGATGCTGGAAGTGGACTCGTAAGCACATGTAGAAAGGCGCGTAAGTCCTTAACCACGCCAGTTGTCTGCTAGGCAAATGCCTCAATTTGGGGCTAAAGTGGGGAGTTGCTCCTGTCAGTGGCTTTCCTGAGGATTGATCAGTTGGATGCAGACAGCTGGAGCCCAGGGCTGCAAAATAAATCCATAGGGTTGAAATACGAGCACAGTCTACAGAACACTGTGAACACACTGGCACCCTCAACCCCACTGTGTGAGTTTTCTGAAACCTGTTTGGAGAGGAGAGAAAATGTGCCAGTGACAATGATGGTGATTTGTATCATAGGCCTGTTGTCTCTCTACCTCTCTGGCAGGGAACAGCCCACAGCCCATGGTGGATGAGTAAGGCAGGGCGGAGAACTATTTTCATAAACACTGACCTGCACGGTGCTGGCCAGAGTGTGTATGTGTGTGTGTGTGTCTGTGACCCATCTTGAAAGGTAAACTGGGAACAGGAAGGGAGGGCATAGACGGGAGCTGGGCTTCCTGGGGCAGCCCCCAGATCTGAAGGTGGCCCTGATCTTCCCAGCTCTGTGGCCCGATGTGTGTCTGCTCTGATGCTGGCTGTGTGGGTCTCCAGGCTCACAGGGCCAGCGACTGAGTGAGAGTCTTACTTTTTAGCAGCTCAGAGGGGCTTCTCTGTATTTTTTTCCAGGCTAGAAATGAAAAATCAAACGTAACACCTGCCACAGAAAATCTCACACATTTTCCCTGCAGATACAGTCTGCTTCTTTGCTCTGGCCCATCATCAGACTAAAGCACACAGAAGTAATTTGTCTGAAGTTGCAGAATTAACCAGACAAATAGGGTGTACTACGGACAGCTCTTATTATTGGATCTTTTTCCCATCCTTTCCCTCCCTGTTGTAATTTACAAGAAGTAAATTCCATTTTCTTTTTTCCTAGAAATGAATACACCGTGTGTACCTTGAAAAATACCACAGATTTGAATTTTGTTCGTATTACATCCTGAACTCATTTGGCTGAAATAAGCTATAAATTCTTTAGCCAGCTTTCAAAATGGGTTTGACTCCCTCCCGGTCATTCTCATTCCAGGAGATTTCATGATGTTTCTTCCCAACTTCACAACTTTATGCTTGTCAAGGTGATTTGCTGTTGAAGTGTGTTTTTAAATATTTTTAATCTCTTGCTTGAGAAAGGAAGATATGAGCCTATCATCAATTTAATTAATTTGAAGACGAAGACTTTCATGAATGTTTTCTCCAAATAAGATAACAAATGTCATTGAGTTTGAACACTGTCTCACTACTTCATTGTTTTTAAAACAAAACAAAAAATGCCCCCCGATAAGCCCAGCTTGGAGCCAGTAGGGACTCTAAGCTCACAGCTCTTCAGTGACAGGGATTTTGGATGCTCAGGAATTCTTCATAATGACCCAGACCTACTGAACCCTGAGGCTGGCCTCACTCGTTTTTAGTTGACTTTGGATTGTCCAACATGCTGGCCCGAGAGAAGCTGAGGTATATTGTGGGGGGCCACAGGCTGAGGCTAGACCTTGACCTTCTGCTTCCCCTCTGTTCCTTATGTGCCTAAGGGGCCCAGCAGTGCCTCCCTGCAGCCTTAGGGTGAAGGTCAGTTACAGCAGGGTCTGCAGACCCTCCTGATCTGTGTCACCTGTCACCGGCCTAGTCTTCCTCCCTTTGTCTGTTCCCAGCTGTGAACACTGTCCCCCAAACCCATTTATTCATTTTTCAGGACCAGATTAAGCATCTGCTCTCTACCTGCTCCCCTCTTGGCAGGTACTTTTATTAACTTACTGATTTAGCAAGCTAATATTTGCCCCAGACCCCAAGGTAAGCACTTACAGGATCTCCCTGGCTTGGGCGTCTGATGGTCAGACAGGAGGGTAGTGTGCCTGTCAGGATGCAGCTGTCTGGGGGCTGCGCCTGGCTCTGCAGAACCCAAGAGGACAGAGGAGCCATGTATTGGGATTTCCAGTCTGAGGCGCCTCCACTCTCCCATATCTCTGTTTCCAGCACTTAGGCCATGGGGTCCTGCCCATGCAGGGGCTCCAGAGCCTGAAGATGAGGGGAAGCAGCCTCTGTTCTTACCTGAGCTGCCTAGGGAGGAAGGAGCCATGGCTGCTTAGGCTCCCTCAGAGGAAGGGCATAAAGGCCACCTGGGTGAGGAAGGGGCTGTGGACAGGCTGCTGAGATGTGAAGGGGACCCCATCTTGGGACCCAATGATGACAGCCTTTCTCCGAGGGCCAGAGAGGAGGCTCATGGGGGACACACTCCAGGGCCACCGCGCTCCACGCTGCCTGAGCCCAGGGTTTGCAGATCTCACTCTTTACTCTGCCTCACTAGGGTGAAACCCCTAGAAGACACGTGAATGCCTCTGCAGAAAGCACTTCTGCTTTTGGAAAGAGTTATTTTTTATCTCTAATAAAAAGAGTGTCCGTGAGCTCCTCAGTTAAAAAGTGTGTCCGTGAGCTCCTCAGTTAAAGGTCCTGGGTGAATTTAGGGCACACAAGACTCTCCCGGGTTTGTTTTCAGTGTTAGCTAGAAACACCTCTTCTTGATATCCCAGGGTTCTTGTAAAGATGTTTGCTTAGTCTTTGTCAAAATATGTACCTTAAGTTCTTAGCCTCATATGTGCTTTTTAAATTCAAACTATAAATTATAATGGTAACTCACAATTTCAAATAAAATGAACCTGCTCGTATTTCCTCTTTTACCCTTTTTAAGGTTAGTTTTAATAGATCTTAAAAGTAGAACATTCTTTTATGTCCATTTGAGTTGAAAGCTTGTAATATAAACTATTTTTTCTCCTAAAGGACATGAGCCCTTGAGATTATTACTAATAAAAGTAACCACTGGGGCTGGGGATTTAGCTCAGTGGTGCTACTGCCTGCCTGACAAGCGGAAGGTCCTGAGTTCAATCCCTGGTACCAAAAAAAGAAAAAAAATAGCCATTATTATTTAAGAAAAACTATCTAAATCATATGGAATCATTCCCAGAAGTTTTATTATTCTATATGTTGTAGTTAGTTTAAAAATCTAGGTGATGTTTTTAAGAGACATTTTAAAATATTTAAATTTTTGCACAAAATATTTGTAATTTCTTTTAGGGAACTCTGTTTATATTTATTAAATTCTTTTACTCTTTCCCAGTTATTAAAAGTAACACTATTTAAATGTTTAAAGGAAACATTCAGTATTATAATATAGAAATTTTTGCTTTTCTTCTTAAACTTTTTAAAAGAAAAAATAGTACCCAATCCATTAAAGTTTGTTTTAAACAGAACTCTCTTCAGCGATGTCTGTATCACCCTTATGCTTGGAAATACAAACTGCTTTTTACAGTATTCATAGTAACATGCTGTTAGTAGTAAAGAGAAAAAGTTTAATTATTAAGATCATTACGAATTAGTTTATACAATCTAAATTAATTATACAAAGTTAAAAAATCTTTACAAATATTAGAGAAAGGTCAATTTAATGAATATTGTAATGACTTTATTATAAAAATGTTGATGGAGCAATTTACTTTCTAGGCTTAATTTGGGAGGTGCTCAGAAATTCTCCGGTCCAGTTGATCCCCCCTCCCCTTGGTGCCTAAATCTCACCATTAGCAGTTTATTTACACTATGCTGAACTTTGCTTCCTTGGTGAGCTTTCTGTTTCCTTCCTAAGGAGCTCTCTTTTAGAGACATAGCTTTCAGTGTGATTAGTTCTGTCTATCCGCTTTGCTCCTTGACAGCGTACAGGTGCCTGGGGCGACAGACAGGGACTCGAAAGCTTCCAGATACAAGAAGCAGGGCAGCGGTAGGGCCAGCCCAGCTCCATCAGTACCACTTGCTTTGTTGGCAGATGTGTGTCCGGGGCTCCCATGAGCATTTTGAAATGCCAGTGAGTCCAGCCTGAGGCTTTGTAGGATAAATTCAGCTCCCTGGGTGAAGGTTGACGTAAGCTACGTATCCATTCTGTCACGGAGAACCGGAAATGAAAGCAGTGGTGAAATGCTAGCTGAAGGGAAGTAAACCAGAGTTAACCTGCCCTTCCCCTTGTGTGTTGCAGAGGCTGGAGCACAAGGAAGTCCTCGTGGGCTTGTTGTTCCTGGTGTTCCCGTTCATTCCCGCCAGCAACCTCTTCTTCAGGGTGGGCTTTGTGGTGGCGGAGAGAGTCCTTTACATGCCTAGGTAACTGCTGCAACCATTCCCCCTTTCCAGCCCTGCTCTCTGCCCAGCTTTGAAATATCAGAGAGACCACCCTCTGCCTGATGACAGTTAGGTCCTCGAGGAGCTCAGGTTTCTGTTACCTCCGCTGTAAAAACAGCCGCGCGGAAGGCTGGTGAGACTGCGTTTGCACACACACTAGTGTCAGAGGCTTGCCTTCAGGTGCAAGCTCACAGCCAAATGGAAAGTACTGACCTGAAGACAGTCAGGATTTTAGCAGTGTCGATTACTGCACCACCTTTGTCCAAATTTGTTTTCTTAAATTATAATTTTCTGGAAATATTTGATTTGCAGAAGATATTAATTATGACCAGCATCTTGTCTCTTTTTTGCCCTTTCATGTTTTTTTTTCTTTATGTAATTTAACAGTGGGAATAAATGAAGAAAATGTGTTCTTGGGAGAAAATGATTTAAAAGTATGAAGGCCATTCAGACGTGTGCTTCGTGGTGTCACTCGGCTCTGGTCCTTGAATGGCAGTGAAGCTTGTGTACCCTCCTGTCCTGCTCAGTTGTCCCCTTCCCAGGCCGTATTTCTGTCTGGATGCCCGGAAGCATCGCCGAGTCAGGCGGCAGTCTTGTTTTTGCTGTTTACCAATTGTGCAGCCTCGAGTAAGACATCAGTCTTTTGCATCAGAATTTGTCATTTTTAAAATTTAGATTTTTAGTAACCTTCCTAAAATTAAGATTTTGGTGTATCTGCCTGCTGTTTCAAACAGTTCATTCTCTGTAAGTTCTAGAATAACGTCTGAAGTTCTTTAAGAATAAACTTTTCTAAAAGGCAGTATCGCGAACCAAAATAATTGTAAGGAAATTGTTTTTTGTTTATGAGATTATACTTGACATTTTGAAACATGCATAATCAGAAATGAACTTCCAATTCCCTCCCCGCTGGGACTTGGCAGGGGTGGGAGGTAGAGGGGCCGCCATTGGTCTGTCTACCACCTTGCTCTTGATGTCCTCAGGAACATGTGTGAAGGATGTTATTCCTTGGTAACACTGCCTGATAAGGAAAAACTATAGTGCAGTTCTTCACACCACATGCTGCCAAAAGATGTGTCTTGGGCGAGCTTGCCGTCGTAAGGAGCATACCTAGCCCGTAGACATCACCACTGCTCTCAGGCCGGGGGCAGTGTTTTTGCTTGGCCCAGTTGATTTAGTCCTTCTGTGCAGTGTGATGACTCCAGTTCTTCATTCAACAGACATTTATAGAGCATTTCTGCCATGAGTGCAGTACCAGCACCTGTAGTTGCAAAGACAAGTGCATGTCAGGTCTTTCCTTAAAGTTTATTAACTGTTTTTTAATGAAATCAAGAGTTTTTTTACTCTGTTTAGTAACTCCTGATATACTTTAAGCACTGCTTACTGTACTGATTAATATTAGTCTACCAGTGATTGTATCCAGGCATTTATTGAGCAGCTATTGCATGGCAGTCACCCTGCCAAGCATGTTGTATCCCTCACATCTATTGATTGTCACTGTGAGCAGAGGCTTCCTGAATACCTGAAAATCCACACAGATTCCAGCTTAAGCATCAGTTGATTCCTCTGAGCTTCAGTTTTCTCCACTTTATAAAGTGGGGATAGAACAGCACGCAACTGAGTAATATATGTATGGGAAGATCTGACATGCGGATCCCGGCCTACTGACCAGACCAGGCTTCCTCTCTCCTAGGTCTGTCTCAGTATTCTTCTCACGAGAGAAAAAGAAGAAGATGTAAGGGTGGCACAGTCGTCTCACTCGGCTCCATGTCGTGGTGGAGCCTTGACACTTCCAAGAGCCCTGAGATCTGACCCTCAGGCGTCCGGTGTCCCCAGTGCGAAGGAATCGCAAGTGTGGTGGGGTTTTCTGGTCTCGGGACAGTGGATGATGTAGGAAGGAAGAATGATGTCCGGCCACATGGAAGTAGCATCTTACTTAATGGGCTTCCTCTCACCCAGAGTCCCCAACGCCCCAGGCCCACACCAGCTCAGGTTCTTCCCATGCTGCTCTGTGTCTGGGGGCCCTCTCTGCACTGGCATGTATTTCCTCTAGAAGTAAAATGCTCCTTTCCCCAAGAAATAATATAATTTGATAGATGTGAGAGAAATGTCAGTATGGCCAAGGACAAGTGCCTGCCTTTGAGAACTAGTTTGGATTTGCAGCATGGGGCCGACTCCATGAAGAGGCGCCCTGAATCACTTTCACTGAGCTGATCTTCATTGCAGAGGTCCCTCCATCTCACACTCAGGTTCTGTGTCTGAGCCTTGTGGTGGTGTTGCCCAGGCACTGTTTTCCGACGCTTTCTCCCATCTACTCCCGGATTCATTTGCGTGTCATCTCTGTGCCCAGCAGGCTATGAGCTTGCAGAGCTGGAGTTTGAGAAGGCCAGAGTCCTGGGGTCAAGGAGGTGGGGGTCACGAGGCATGGTCTGGGGCTGACGACAGGGTATAGTGGTCACTCAGCTGCATCTGTAGTCCTGATCACGTCTGAGAGGTTAATGTAAACAGGGAATTGTGGGCGTTTCAATGGGATGTTGTATCTCTGATGAACCTCAGTATTCACATCAGCACTGTATGGAAACTTGCGAGGGAGCTGCTTTACTTATGGCCCTGGATTCTGTACTGATCCAAAACCATGCCACAGTACCTGGCTGGGCTGAGTGACAAATTAAAGCCTTTGAGGAGACTTCTGTGCTGCATCTGTAGAATGACTCACAAGCCATTTTATAAGTATTTGAGTTCTTTTTGACAGTGAAAGTCTGTCTTGGAAAGAGTTGTTACTTGGCAGTGGCCGCTGCCCTGTTGCAGTGGAGAATGGAGACCAGTTGGGTAGAGAGCTGTCAAAGTCCTCTCTGGGCCAGGCAGTGTTACCATGGTTGCTTTGTGCCTTTCCTGGAGCTGGCAGGAAGCTAAATAAAGACCCGCTCCGTTTGATAACCCTGCAGGTCAGCTTGGATTTTTGTTTTTGGCAGTACTAGGCATTGAGCCCAGAGCCTTGCAGCTCCTAAGCAAGCACTCTACCAGTGATCTATACTCTCTCCCACCCCACCCCCGGTTGAATCCATGCACATGGATGGGACTCTTCTTCATAAATTTCCTTCCATTATTGACCTGGAAAGAACAAGCCACAGGTAATATCCACAGTGCTGGTCCCTGGCTTCTTTAATAAGAGTAGAGCCAGGGATCTAGCTCAAGTGGTTCTGTCACCTGCCTCGCAAGTGCAGGGTCCTGAGTTCGATCCCTGGTACCAAAAATAAATAAAAATAAAAGTATATGTGCAGACACATGCTGAGTGCCCTTTCTGAAAATATAGGCAGGTCACTGTCTTCATTGGCTCCGAAACTTGTACAAGAGGAAGATGGAGTGGAAAGCTCAGCTGGTAAGGACCAAAGGTGGAGCTCTGTGGTAGGGCACATACTTAGCAGGTGCAAGGCCCTGCATTTAATTCCCAGCACCAGAATAACAAATAAATAAACAAAAAAGCACACCCCACTTGTGATTCTTCTGAAGGTGAACTTCCTACCGCACACTATTTGTTCAAGCTCTTGTAAGCCTTAGGTGTTCATACTTGATGGTCCAACCTGCCCAAAGCCCGGCTGAGTCCACCGGTTCTGGGCGCTGATTTGGCCATTTTACAAGAAAAGCCCAGTGAGTCAGACTAGCAGTGCCCTTTCATCTACTATATTTATGCCTAACAGTGAGGGAACCACTTAATTCTTTTGTCTTTTGTTCTCCTTCCATCCTAACCCAGAAAAGTCCTGTAGCAACCCCTTCTGATTTGTACTTGGAATGTGGATAAAGGGGACAGAAATCAGCTATTCATTTAGCATTGCATGGCTTTTAGGGTTAGGGTTTTACCATTTGAAGAAATTACAATGGTATTTTCTTCTGGTGATAAATGTCAGTTTGTAGAAATTTTTTTGTGAACAAGGAGGAGAATTTGGGGGTTGAAACCATTCTTTCATAGAAATTTTGCTCTCTTATTCTTCTCCCAAAAAACCATATAATGTTATGGCTTTTTTGGGGTATTTTATGAAAACCACATTGGTAGACTTCAAAAAACTAAACTTTCTTAGAATTGATGAAGCAGAAATAGTCGAGAAAAATCTCAAGTCATAGAAAGTAACTGAATACTCACCTGCCTGCCACATTACAGGTGATTTATTCATTTCGGTGACAAAGAGTAAATTCCTCCACTACTGGAAGAAAACTTTCATGGATAGGTCAAAGGAATTGTTAGAAAGAATTGAGGCAGAAACAATATTTTGGTTAGAAGTAACAAAAAAATAACTGAGGTCATAGAAATTCAACAATGTGAATCTGAGGCGGGAAAGAAAGTAGAAACTACCCCATGCTCTTAGGAAGACGAGCATTTGTTCTGTGAACCCCAGCACTCACGGTCACATTAGACATGGAGGCTTAGAAAAGCATCAGCATCATTCATCTTTGCGTTTGAGAAGTTTCTTCAAATTCTAGTCATTTGAAGTGAAAATTTCGATTTTGTGCTGGTTGCTGTCGGTACAATACTGCAGTGCCTGCTCCCCAGGAGGTAGATTGAGAGGGACCTGCTGAGCGTTATGCTCCTCTGGTGTGTGGCACCTGCCCTTCTGGTCACCACCTGTCCAGGGGCACATCTGCTTGGTCAGAGTCACCAGGGAAAGGTCCTGATGATTTGAGAGCATAGAGTTAAATCTGTGCCGTTTTATAAACTTGTGAAATTATATCTTTCCTAGATTCTCAGTATCTTTGTCAAGCTTTGGCTTCTCTCCCACCCACCCCACCCTTTTAGACACGTTACTAGTTTCTAAAATCTCAAACTCCCACAACCACAGTGCTGTGCAGCCTCTTCGCACAGATGCATATTCGAACTGCTTTATGACCCAAAGTACCTGTGTGAAGCCAGGCTTCTGCCCGTAAGACCTCTGCTGCAGTGGTGTCCTCACATGCTGTGACAGCCCGTGTTCAGCTGGACACGTGCAGTAGGG